TCGTCCAACACCTTGAAATTATCCGAAGTCAATGTAGCCGTGTTCGGTTGTTGGTCACGAAGCTCACTGACGGGGCACACAATTTTCGGTCTCGGTCGGTTACAGTCCGTGTACTCATGATCAGCTGACGTCCGTGCTATGTCGTTCACCCCGTGTTGGTAGTTTTCTGCGGTGCACGGTACGTCGTCCGCCGCCCTTTATTCGATGTTTTCCGACGAATTGTTCAAACCACTTTACGGCAAATCGCACTGCTGCAAACTCTCCACAGCCGGACTATCCAAACGTCCTGGTGTAGTAACGTCGATTTCTTCGGTAGAATTGTCCATGATTTGAATTCAGAAATTGAATATAATATATTATTATACGCGACAGAAATTTAATAGGTAGGTAACAAAAGAAATGTTTCGACGAAGTATAAACTAATACAAAATACAAATCAAACGGATAAATATACATTCAATATCCATGACAACAAAATGAAATATTGTTTAAAATTGAAAATATAATACGTGGTAAATGTATTTCCAAACACATTACGTATATAAGTATATTTAAAATCGCGATTGTAAAATTCTTACACCTTTATACTGGTTGAATAATAATTTGTTTACATGCAGCTACTAAACATGAGTTATTTTTTTACTGCCATATTTTATATAAACTTACAACTTATAACTATATACAACGGGTTATTATTTTAGGGTAAAAACTGTATTTAACCATTGATATTTTATCGAGTGAGTAGTATTTTGTTTATTTTTTTTGGAAGTTGGGGGAGATTTTTTAAGGTACCACAAATATGTCTTATAGTTATCTATTTTAAAATATCGTTGTACGTTTTAAATTCCGAGCGGAGCGATGAATGTATTGACTTTTCAATGATGTGTGTTTTTAAATTTTTTTTATGTCTGCCATCACGTTTTGGGACAGTAAAAATGCTTCAATTTTCTTCAACAGCAATTTTTCTGGTAGCAAACTGAATTTAGTTGGTACTTTGGAGGGTCGAATGTGACAATTTTCCAACATTCGCCAAATCTTGACCATCCCTGAGTATTCATTTTCTATATTGCTCATAGTGCACAAACGTTTCAGTACACAATATTTTTTGTTTTTTCAAAACGTGCCATGGTTCGTATTCATTGTTAATACAGCATATATTTTTATTTTCGTGTTCATTACTACGTAAGCATAGAATCAATATAATATTAACATTATTAACTATTAAGATATCCACTGTATGTACAAAAAGTATTTACTATTTAGGTACCGGCACAGATTATAATCAAATACTGTAATAAAACAGATTGTGCACTTCCTATGATGCTTTGTAAAAAATGAATACGGTGCTGTGATTGGTCTCCGCCCAAATCAGTATGATCACAAATACCAATGCTAAATTATTGAACATACTTACATACCATATTATTGAAATTTGATTTTGCTCAGTGAACTTTTCAATTTCAACTCAACACTCAAAATATTATACTTAGGTAAAAGTAATGTAGAAATAAAATATGCAAATTGTTATCTACAAACAAATATTTATTTAAATTTCTCGCAATTTTAATCAATATAATATTAACAATTAAATACATATAATACATTTATTATAAACATAATTGATGAAGTACAAAATGTTAATACAATTAGCTTACTTATTAATACTAAATACTTTCTAATTTATTCATAAATGATTTAGTATACATAATTTACTATTTTTTTTTATTTTTTCAGATATTAAATTCCTATTTAAAAATTTAATTGCAGCATGAATTCTAAATCTAATAAAATAATTAATTAAATAATCTTTACTAAATATAGGACATGGATGACTAAACACAACATTAGTCATGCTTAATTTTAACTTAATACCTACTTCTTTGTTAATAGCTATTTGTGGAAATCTATTCATAAATATGTTTTCCAATTCATCGATATAATCATGAAATGAATGTTGTGGCATCATTACGTTGCCAAACAATGTTTTTTCTGCATTCTCATATGCTTTGAAATAGCAAAGTAAAAAGGACTCATCCAATTTTTTTTGTGATTTTGCATATTGAATACAAACATCACAAGTGTGTTTTTCAATGCATTTCTTCATTAGAAATCCACAAACATATATGAAAGCATTTTTTTCTGGCATCGATAAATTCCTATAATCTGGGGTGTCTATTGCAAGTATATTTTTTTTAAATTGAAATGGATTTTTATCATAAAATATTATTTTTATATTTTCGTCATTTAAGGGATCTGTGTTAATTTTAGATAAAATTTCATCCAAGTCTGTTATGTAATTTGCATTTCCAGAGTGGGTAAAATAATTAAGACAAAAATTTAGTTTATATGACCAGATAAATTGCATTGGGGTTGGATTAATATTATTTCCATTATGTTGGGTGCGAAACGTGCCAAAAAAATTTTCCAACCTATCTTGATTGATTCGACTTGTATACAGAACATAACTCTCATCAGTATTGGTAACTTTTAGTGATTCCCACAGTTGAAGTAAACCAGAGATTGAAATTAACCAACCTCTAATAAATTTCATTTGGTTTGTCACTTCAACATTTGTTTTTTTGTTAAATACTTGTAATGTTTTAAAAAAGTTTTCCATAAATTTTAAATGTGAAATTTGAGGATCAGTATTTTTAAAAGGTCTATTAATTTTTTTTAAGCCAGGTCGTCTAGAAGAATTAAATATGTCAAAAAGTTTATCCATATTTTGAATGAAGTTGATTGTAGGCAATGAAGTATCAGGTAAGTGGCTTGATTTTAAAAAAAGTAGCATTCCAGCTAAGAGAAGTGAGAATATTTTGAAATATTACACACCCAAGATAAGAAGAATTGTAACAGCCAATTAAAAGTATGTCCAAAGTTGACTGAAAATCATGTAAAATTATTAAATACATGTACACGCAGTGTACGTCTCGCAATACAGGTACTTATAGAGTTATAGGTTATTAGGTAATACAACTTTATAAAACGTTATATTTTCTTTTCCTTTACAGGTTTTTAGTAAATCTGCCGCAGATGGTTTAAAATTTTATAAAATACACAATATAGAAGGTTTGAGTAATTGTGATACAACAATAGATTTTTGTTTGATCTTTAATGACTTATTTAATACATTAAACGCAAAAATTCCTGTACAAGGTATTAAACCTGGATCAAAAAATTATCAAGTTTGTTACATTAAAATTGTTTATATTTTTTTGTTTATTTTTAATTAATGTATTGTATTGTTAATGTAATAATATTATTCAAAAGGAAATTACATACAACATTATGTAATATAATAATACAATTAAAATACTAACTTATGTCACATAATCTGTTCGTAAAATTCCATTATAACATGGTTTGTATGCATGATGCATGTAATAATTTGCACAATATTTATAAAAGTTAAGCTATTAAACTATTTGATCTAGCTGGGGAAGGGGTGGATGACAACCCTCAATTTTTTATTATTGATGATGCTTTAATCACAGTAGTTATAGCCTATAAAGGTAATAAATTAATATAGTATATGAACTCCAGCTACACGACTGTATATAATGATTGCTTTTGTCAGTTTTACTGAAGGGGTATATGGCATTCAACCTGTTGAATGTCTCATAACAACTAACAAGACTAAATATGTGAATGGGAATTTACTGATATAATTGAACACGATTATTCATTGGCTCCAATTGTGGACTGCTTAAAGTATTATATAGCTGGTTATTTAACTCACCAAATAATCAAAAGAAGTTCTTGTCCAAAATGTAAATCTAGTATCACAACTCACAAGTATTGAATGTTTCACCTCTGAGGCTGATTTGACAAATATTAAATCTAGGGGATGGCTGAAACATCCAAATAAATTATTGAGTGTTGGTGAAGATGAGTTGATGAACAATTTAAGTAAAACAATTGTTTTTCAAGACACAGTAGAAGCATTGATAACCAAGTGTGAAACGTTCACATTTCCATGTGCGGAACATAAAGATTTTATTTTATCATACATTATAAAATATAATATAAATATGAGAATGCGTCAATGGACTAGGCAAACAAACCAGGAGCAGCTAAAAGAAAATGCGAAAAAAAAGAAACTGTCTAAATTTTGTAAATCATAATCTAATATCTATATTCTATAATAATTAATATTATACATACCTATAAATTAAAAACTTAAAAGTTGTTTGTTATTTTAAAGTTTTTAGACTTAGTACTACCTTAGTACATCAGCAATATCCTATAATCGTGCCAAACGAATAATTTTAATACAAAATATTAAAATAAAAAATTCTCATGAAATTTATTTGTAGATATTATCAGATAATATCTAGATCGTCTTACGTCACTGATAGATGGCAGTACTAGTATATAAGAGTTCCCTGTCCCGTCAATAAGAGCACAGGACAGGTCATGAGGTGATTACACGTTTTTTCATATACTCTGTGCATCTCTGTATATAATAATATATATTTTTATGTCTATGACTCTGTGGGGTACTGCTTTTCTAAAAATAACACACAACCCTAATGATAAATGTATTATATAATAAATATACCGGACTTACTTTCGCGGTACTTTTTTTCGTGAAATTTCTTTCGCCGGACTTTAGTTAGTACATTCCCACTCGATATCTGCTTCCCGGGTTTTTTTGTAATTAATGTAATAAATTATTTTAGATGTACCAGCCAACCGAACCTTCTGCCGCAAACCTGAACTCATCTTCAACGGCGTTCTTGTACCAGGCGCCAATGATGCCGGCCCAGCAGCACTCTCCATATCCCGCAACATAATCGGTAACCACCACGTACCAGGTGCCGAGTATGTACCAGCAGCACTCTCCATATCCCGCAACATAATCGGTAACCACCACGTACCAGGTGCCGAGTATGTACCAGCAGCCGGCACATTTCCCTGCGCAATATGTTATGCACCAGCACCAGCCGCCCACCATGTGCCAGTACCAGCCGCCTTTAATGAACCATCAGTACCTACCAGCCGCCTTTCATGAGGCAGCACCAACAGCCCTTCATTCCACAAACTGCCTCAACTTACCAGCAGCCCGCCACTTCAGATCCGACCGCCGCTACTTACTTGCAACAGCCCGCCACTTCCGCACCAACCGCGACTCCAAAGCAGCAATCCAATAAAATGAAAATTAGTAAGTTAAATTATTTATTCAACTTCAGTTAATATATGTACCAAGATTAAAACATTTTAATTATAATTGATTACAGAATGTCTAATTTGCCATAAAATTGGTCACCGGGCGACGGAGTGCCGCAACCGACTACGCCAAGAGCCTCGGAGTAAGATTTATTTATTTATTTGTATGTACATTTATAATAGAATTAAGATGATATTATACAATTATACAGTGTTGGGTATAGATATCTATGATTAAAGTAGTTTATGACTTTATGAGGATGTGTAGTTTAAAATTCACAAATTTCATTTAATATATTTTAATCATAAAATTTTTATCTACTGCTTACAAAAATAATTTACCTATAAATTATCATAACCTAACCAACCATGATACTATAATATGTTGTATAATAGATTCTATACTATAGCCTGTAGGGTTGAATTAATTTCTTATGACAACCAGGAAAATGGTTTACATCAACTTTCAAAAATTCAAACAAGTAATTAAATAAATTATTTTTTTTTTAAATGAGAATTTCCTTGTTTACTGCAAATTATTTAGCAGATGGTGTTCTTGCAAATCTAGATGTATCTAAATCAAAATTCTAATAAGTAGTTTCTGAATTATTAAAATATGTATACTAAGGATAATAATCCTTAAAATATGGTGTACACTAAAAAATATAAGTACCTACATCAATGTCAAAGTCCTGGTGAACGACGTGGAAGTGGTCGAAGTTTGGATGGACGAAACTTGGGCAGAACTCAATGACACTAAATAATACATGCAATTTATTAATTTGGTGTTCCACAAAGACCATTGCATTCATTAAGATTGCAAATATGAATTATCAAACTTTGGTCAGTAATTTTTATGATTTGCAATTGTTTGTGCCTGTTGTATGTGATTCTTTAACCTCATTACAACTGCAGACACTCATTTATGTATATTGATTTTATTGTATAATAATTACTATGTTATTGATATTGCGGTGTACATCAAACACAGTTTGCACTATTGTTGAATTTACTGAAATCCTTGCTACTACTACCGATATGTGGAGTTAAATGCACCCACCATCATTACTGAATTACTTGATTGATTACTTGATTGAATACTACTAAACAATAGGGCTTGGATGTTTATGATTGAACATAAATTGTATTCCCTAATGTTCAATTTTATTATTGTTCTAACGTAATTCCTTATTAGTCTTTGATATAGTACTAATAGTATTAATACATTTTGGGTCATATACACTTGCATATTTTGACATCTCATTTTTTCCAGGAATATGCTTCAGGCGTGGCAGGCAGAAAGAGACATAGCCGACGCCGATCCCGTAGGCGTGCTTCCTTGGCCAATTACAATGCGTTTCGTCGCTGATGCGTATGGCGATACAACCTGCCCCCCGCAAATGAAGTCACGGCTATGTTCGTTGGTGATGACGGTCGTCTGCCAAGAAACCTTGATCTGGTCATCTACGACACGAATCCAATCAACCCGTAACACAGAATGCAAAATATACCTGCGGGTTTGTTAATGACTATTTCACATAAGACTGTTTTGATTTAACTGTTCATATACATTCACCACATGTATACACTTTTATTTATTAACACTAGGTGTAACTCTTAAATACTGGCAGTATTGCATTCAATTCGCATGGTTGGGTGTTGTATATCATGCACAATAGTCATTACATTATTAGAACTTTCAGTTTCTCAACTACAGCGCCTGTTAACATAATATCCATCATGTTATTTATTATATATACATTTTCTACTAAACTGCAAACCACACTCAATTGATTCTTTATGATATCAATTATGTTACATTTGTATCATCGATTGTATTGATAATATTTAGGTAGATTTTTTTTCACACAAAAATTCCATGTGCGTTTATGAATTACCTACATCTACACACGCACATCAAATGGCAATGAGTTGTTTTGTGTGTTTTATATGTTGTTTATTTACCAACTATTTTATCGTTAAGCGAACCTACAGTTACATTACTTCAATGCTTAATTCACTGTGTTCTTATTTTATAAGTTGTCGAATCCACTCGACCTGCCACACGGTACCGACTAACTAGAGTTACTAACTGTTTCACTCAACATTCTTTTTGTTATTGAACACATACAACTTCCATATAATTGGCACTATCAGATGATTCAATTATTCACTACATTTATACATTATTGTATTAATTAACACTACTAGGATTATTAATTACTTTGTACACCTCATGGGTAATAAACATACACGAATAATATATATATTTACCCCAAACCTTAACCCTTTCACTTGTGAATTCACACCTGGGAGTACTGAATTTTAAAATTCACTTGGTTGTAAATAATTTTTTATTCACATTAATAACAAAAGTCATTACGTTACTACACAGTTTGCTATTTCATGAGTAATAAAAGACTTATCCGTCCAATCACAATAAATTGTTTTATGTATATTGTTTACTAGATATTTTATCATTTTATTACTTCAAAAACAATGCTTAATTCACTTTACTCTTATTTTATAATTTGCTTAGGACTATAACAAATATGTGCAGTGCACAATAAGCATACTAGCATAGCAGAAAGTCAAATGCTTAATAATTAAAATGTTACTCACTTCAGTGCCACACTTACTGTTGTATTTAATAACATATTTAATGTTCCACAACATATGTGTATACTTATTGGCCAGCACTTACTTCCAATTTGTATCTATATGTTTAATATCATTGTATGTCATCTAACTCAGTACACTGTAGTAATAATTGACACCTGGGATTTGAAGTACTCAACCTTAGAGATTAATAGTTTATACTTTTTGCCTATGGAATATTATATCATCATTGGTAATAAACACTAAATAAACACTATATAGAAATTATTCACACATCTCATAAACACAAAATGTACACTATTCACTCTAAGCGCTACTAATATACAGTTTAATGCTTCGGACCGTCATTATTACTCAAAGCATCATTGACTTAATCATAAATATTTTTAACTCAGAATTTGGGACTTTTACACATACCTTTCTTTAAATATGTACTCACTACACACAACTCCATGACCCTGACTCTCAGTCAGTCGTTTAGTAATTCACTTGAAATGATATATTTTAGGCTCGTGTCACGCGGATCCGCTGTTGTTCCCGAGCAGGGAAGGCGGTTGGCATTTCGGGATGAGGCAAGAGGGCAACCGACGTAATCAAGTCGGCAATCGAAACAGTATCAGGGATGTTTGCGTGTTCAGTCAAACTACCTAATACTATATTGAAAGTGTTCATTATTTTTTAAATTGTTATTCGGTTCACTAGGCATTAAACATCGTAATATTTGTTAATTTAGAAATATTCATATTAACATTTAATTCTCTCTCCAAAATGATACACTGAGCTAGTCAATATAGTGATATTTATTTTGCCTTTTTTTGAGCTATTTTTAGAAGAAAAAAAATCGTGTTTCATAAGTTTTTTTTACATTTAATATCGATAAAATATGTTTTTGGTCAAAAAACCTGAACATTTACAGAAATTAGATAAAAATTATATTTTAATAATTAAATAATTATAATTATATTTATATTATATAATATATAATAAAATAGATATTTCATAAATGATTTATTCAATTTTCCTAAACATTTGAACTAAAAAATAAGAATATTATTAAAAAGAATTCAATAATATCAAATATCTTAGACAAACATCTTCGAATAGCAAATCCTCAGATGTGATTTAACCAGACAAGCCGGAGTACCTTCACGCTAGTCAATCTTTTAATTTATTATTTTGGACTTGGAAAATATTCAGGTTAAACCGATTACTTTTCCAAACAATTAGAATAATTCTCTTTGAAAAAATTCTTATACAGATTAATAGTTTACCCGTTACATTTAAAGTGTCTATATTGACAATAATACAATAAATTATAAAAACATTCTACGGTATTCAAGTTCATTTCATAACTACACCTCATCCTATTCCTCTCAGCGACACATGTAGTTGTCAGACCACTAAATTACCTACAACATATCATTTTACTTTATTTATGAACACTGTATGAAAACGTATAAAAGCATTACTGGCAAAATTGTATGATCAAGCGTAATTTAAATTAAAACACCTAAGTAGAAAAACACCCATATTGAGTTTGTTTATTGTTGCACTATTTAAGTTTAATTTATAACTTACAACTGAAGAAGATATAAAAACATAACTAAAAAATTGATAATCATAATATTAAGTACCAACAATTACTATGCAACGAAAATAATCGTACTAAAATCTATAGCTACCTTGTCTACTAAGGACAAAAATTGATAGTTACATTATCCTGTACTACGTTCATACAATTAATAACATACAAAGTATTAGTACATATTATAATTGAATTAAATACCAAGATTGTGGAATAAATCGATTTCCGATTAATTTAAATTAGATACATAATTAGTTTATAATTTGAATTATTTAAAATTTATAAAAAGTTAAATGTTAATAAAATGTAATAAAAATCGATAGCTGTTAAATATTTCGATGGCTGAAAAAGAAATGAAACATTAAAACATCTAATCATGAAGATACCAAGCCGTCTATTTGGTATTGACCTGAAAAACATACACAACATTTAACATTGAGTTTTATTTTTTGTTAATTTAGTAACAATAGTAACGGTTTTTGTAGGTTAATAGTTAATATATTAGTATATTACATACAATTATTGTACATTTAGCAATACCACAACTTTAAATAAAATAAATAAATTTATCATCTAGATAATTTACTTAGACAATTTATCTATATAATGACCAACACTGGTTTTGGCCATGAACATATTTCATATTTTCTTATAGTTATTTGATTTCCATTCTACCATAGGTATCTTGTATCTATACTAAAGTCTAATACAAATTTATTCAAGTTAAGAAAAACAAAAGTTCTATTTCTATTTTGAATAATAATATTATAGAAGATCAGTTGAAATAACTTACTTCGTCTTAAATGTCTGCTGTAGGCAGTATAAATGAAATTCAGAATTTAAAATGTCGCTCCTCCTAATGACCACAACTTATTTTTACTACCACTAAAGTAGCAAAAGGTATTAAAAACCGAATTCAAAAAATATTTGAATAGTTAAACTCTTAAAATATATGTTAACCAATAATTATGTATTTAAACCAGTATAATCGCGTATTGTTAAAATTAAAAACTAAAAAATGTAGAAATCGAACAAAACATGTTCTACGAAGACGTATACATAACTTAATACATATTATTATATTGAATATTCTTTTCGGAAATAAAATGGATTGGCTACAAAGCTCCATAATATGCATTAAATAAATTGCATCAATAATATTTTTCGTTGCCTAGGAAATATTCTATAAAATATATGTTTATACGTTTCTCCGATTACGATTCGTCTTCAATATCGTTTTTATTTCGTACGAATTATTTTCTAGTATAAAAAAAGTTATTTTAGTTTCACTTTATGACAATATTATAAATAACAATTCAATAATGTGTGTAATGATTATAATTTTTTTCTATAAAACACAATTTTAAATTCATTCGAGTCTGAAAATAACTTGAACGTGAACCATATGAAGGTACTATAAATGTGGAACGACGACGAGCTACCACTACGGATATCATGACTGTGCTTTCAGAACACTTTACAGTCGGCGGTAATATCTCACAATTCACATAGTATCATCGTTAAAAACCAATTATTTGGATTCTCACAGTAGCAATGAATTATTTATTGGTTTTACAAGGTCGAAAGTTTTTTAAATATAATTTTTTAGTTTTTACATTAAATAAAAATGTAAATAATATTAATTGTAGAGATTTGAAATTTTTATCAACTAATTGTCATGGCTTTTTCTAGACAATACAGTTTTAAAAATATTTTGGATCTTCTTTGAGCTATCTTCTTTTGCTTATAAATATTTTAAGTTTACTTATTTTAGTTTTTTTTTCACCGTTCTATTTGTGTTTAAAAAGTTATTGTTAACATTAAAATATTAAATTGTTCGTTTTTGGTATTTAAACAATATTATAATATTACACAAGAACAATTTAAATAATTAACTTCGACTCCAATAATAAACTATATATTTTATGATGTATAGGTAGAGGTAGATAATTATTATATATATGGAAAGTTTTTGTCAATACATATATTATTATTATTCGTTTATATTTTAATTATTTTGGTGTACACAATGGCTTATTTTAAAAATATTTAGATTAGTAAAATATAACGGATGCTTTCCCGTGCGCATGAGCATGCCATCGGGCGCGTCCCCAGGTTGCGGATAGGGGAACGCCCTGAGGATATTGTACTCTCAGGGTAGTCGCGAAATAAGTCATACCTTCGGGATGGACGAATAAGCGGCCGCGGACAAGCTCACCCACCGGGAAACCGATCGACCCCCGGTGTCCCGGTAGATCACACTGGGAGACGACGCGAGGCTGCAGGCGTCGTCGGTGTAGGCCAAACGGACAGAAAGACGAAAATGGACTGAACAAACAAATTACTTCTCCATTATGAAAGTAAATTACTAGGAGACAGCGATTAGGGGCTGGTTCGGCCCAATAGTCGTAATCGCTAAGCCAAATACATCATCTAGGAGCAGAGGCGGTCAGATAGGCCTCTGCCCGTGGTTTACTACATACACGTGTCGTCCGTACTTAGCGGACACGGAATATTCGCACTAAAAATATTATACTCACGCAATTTGTAACTCGTGGCTAATCTGCCGAATTAAAGATGTCCAAAGGTTTGAACATAATTGAGTATAATACATCCTAGAACTTTTTTTATTATTTACGTTAACACCTATTGTAATCTTAGATATTTATATTTTTAACTTATTTTAAATAATTAGTATTAATATTTTAATTTTAATTTTATAGGCTTATAAGTTACGACGTAAAAACTTAATTTAATTTATTTAATATATTTCAACTAATTAGTCTAGGTTTCAATCTATGGTATATCGATATTTTTTTTGCATTTATCATTGCAACTATCTATATGAATATAATATAATGATGCCAATGGCCTCTGTCGCCGGAGCTAAAAATTAATTTTAAAGAAGACATAATTTTGTCTTTCTCACACATTTTTTTCGGAACTACTACAAATTTTAAATTCTAAATTCATTTTATTTTTTTCAATCATCGATGAATATAATATAATAAAGCCTATGGCCCCTGTTGCCGGAGCTAATAATCAATTTTAAAAAAACATATATTTTACATTTTTCATTCATAGATTTTTTTTTAGAATTTTCGGACTTTTATTACAAATTTTTAAATTATAAATTTATTTTATTTTTTTCATTTATCATTGCAATTACCGATGAATGTAATATAATAAAGCCAGTGACCCCGTCGCCGCGCCGGAGTTAATAATCAATTTAAGAAAAAACATATTTTTGTCTTTTTCACAATGTTTTTAACTTTTTCGGTCCTATTAAAAATGTTTAAATTCTAAATTTATTTTATTCTTTGTATTATTTATTGCAATCACCGACGAAAATAATATAATAAAGCTAATGGCAACTGTCGCCGAAGCTATTAGACAATTAAAAAAGTATATATAATTATATATTTTTTTTTTTACAGTTTTTTTAATTTCTTTTGGAACCACCACAAATTTTTTAAATTCTAAATTTATTTTATTTTTCGCATTTATCCCTGCAATTACCGATGAATATAATATAATAAAGCCAGTGATACTGTCGCTGGAGCTAATAATCAATTTTAAAGTAGACATAATTTTGTTTTTTTCACACATTTTTTTCGGAACTACTACAAGTTTTAAATTCTAAATTCTTTTTTTTACATTTTTCATGCACACTTTTTTTTTTTTTTTTGACTTTTCGGACCTATTAAAAATGTTTAAATTCAAAGTTTATTTTATTTTTCGCATTCATCACGTAATCATCGTTGAATATAATATAATAAAGCCTATGGCCCCTGTCGCCGGAGCTAATAAATAATTTTAAAAAAACATATAATAATATTTTGTCTTTTTCACAATTTTTTTAATTTTTTTCTGAAACTACATGTTTTAAAATTCTAAATTAATATTTTTTTACATTTTTCATTCATAAATTGTTTTGACTTTTCGGACCTATATAACAAATGTATTTTATTTTTTGTATTTATCATAGTAATTACCGATTAATATAATATAATAAAGGTTATGACCCCTGTCACCGGAGCTAATTATCAATTTTAAAAAAATCTATAATTTTGTCTTTTTCACAATGTTTTTAACTGTTTCGGTCCTATTAAAAATGTTTAAATTCTAAATTTATTTTGATCTGTGCATTAACGATTGGGATCACCAACGAATATAATATAATAAAGCCAATGGCAACTGTCGCCGAAGCTATTAGACAATTAAAATAAAATATATAAGTATATATTTTGTCTTTTTTACAAGTTTTTAAATTCTAAATTCAATTATTTTTAAATTTTTTGTTTATACATTTTTTTTTTGATTTTTCGGATTTATTACGAATTTTTAAATTCTAAACTTATTTTATTTTTTTATTGATCATTGCAATGACCAATGAATATAACATAATGAAGCCAATGGCCCCTGTCGCTTGATCTAACAATCAATTTTAAAAAAAACATTTATTTTTGTCTTTTTCACAATTTTTTTAACTTTTTTGGATCCAATACAATTTTTAAAAATCAAAATTTATTTTGTTCTTTGCATTAACATATGCAATTACCGAAAAATATAATAAAGTAAAGCCAATAGCAACAATACTGTCCCTGAATTATAATCAATTTAAAAAAATACTTAGTTTTTATATATAATATATTATTATATCATAATTATTAACTTAGAATTTTAAAAAAAATTCCGGACCCTTTTACAAGTTATCCAATTCTAAATACATTTTTTTCTGCATTTTTCATGCATGTATTTTTTTTAATTTGTCTGACCTATTACACATTTTCCAAATTTCCAAATTTATTTTGATTTTTTGGGCACAGAAAGCGCATTTATCGGTACACTTATACATTATTATACTTACATTGATTTGCCTTATAAGCATATTCTTATTCTGTTACACCTTTTTCGGACCTTTTTTTTAAATTATAAATTTTTTGCATTTTTTTGCACTCTCATGCAAACACATAATTTTGGCAACACATTGCCTTTCACACACTTTTTTTTCTTTTTTCGAACCGGTTTTCGCATATTAAAATTTATGACATTTAAATAACAATATGTAGTAACGAATAATTCAATCAATATCGATTATACCATTTGATGAATACATTTTTATTCATGTATAATTTTTGACATGTACACAAATTATCATAACAATCATTTTGCACTGTTTATATTGCATGTATTGTATCATCATTATTATTATTAAAAATACTAACCTACTGGTTTTTTGATGTTGTGATTTATATATTTATTATATTTATTGTTACAATATATATTTGTTGTATAATTTGTTGTATTATTTGTTCATAGTATTATATTTTCTTACATCAGGTATATTATATTGTTTGAACATTTTGTGCTGTATGACGTTCAAAATACATATATTTTATTAGTACAGCCATCAAACCATTTTTGAAAGTCCATTAATGGTTGGCTACCGTTGGATTCGCAAAAAAAATAGAAGATGAACTTGAAGCTTTATGGCTTTATTTTGTAGATAGCAAAATTACATCGAATCTGGTGGTTAAGTCGTAATTCAAATAGGTTAGGTATTTACCTATCACATTATAAATTATACATTCGGAAAAATTAGAAGGATAAAAAACAATATCAGATGTTTTCACCCCAAATCAACATTTCTTACTATTGGTAGTTATACCTAGCTATGCAATTATATGTTACACCAACACATTCCCAAGTGTGATGTGAAAAGAAACTTCGGAAATCAATGTTTACTTATCATTTATTATTTTACTATTTTATTTATGTATTATTAACTTCACAAATATATAAACTGTAAGACGTCGATTAAATTACTATTATTGGTAAGTTATGTGTTAACATAATATATTTTATAGGTATTATAATATTTTCCTAGCCGCCTTAATTAGTTTACCTACTTTCGTCCGCACAATTAAACAATAATATTATAATTTATAAGCACAACAATTGTATGTCTAAGTTTCAAAAAACCTTTCGTATTAAGCTCAAATATATTTGCGGAAAATGGGAAATCTCACGATTCAATTTTCTCGCCTTACCGTATTTCTTCGCAGATGATGTATTATATCTGTGTTAAAATTATTCACTCGCGTTTTTAATAATATATTTTATGGTACCTACCTACCTACCTACCTACCTATATTAGAAAAAATAAATAAATTTAGACTTTTTGAGTGACGGTCGACGTAAAATATTATATTGAACGATTTAGGTCTTCCCAACCCAGTTATTGTTGTTTACGCGAAAAAACCTCCTGTGGTGTGCTAAAACAAGAATTTCGAAACACACTCGTTATATTATGATAGAGCTAGTTATATTATAAAATCTTATTTTGGAAAAAAAATTCGTCGAAATTCAACATTTGTAAAAATATTCCATAAATAACATTTAAACGTTTTTATTTCTATTAATATATATTTTTACCTTTTGATCGACCCCAAATTTTGTTTGAAAAAATGAGGGTGAAAACTAAAAAAAACCTAAATTAGAACACCTTCATTAAAAGTGACACTGGACACTGGGACCCCAGTTTGCAGCGTAATTGAGCCACTGAGCTCGGTGGATGAGGATTCCACATAACTGAACCATATTCTAAATGGAAACAAACCAGTGAAAAATATACAATTTTTAAGCGAATTTAATTTTTAAGCTCCGAGCAACTACGGATCATGAAACTAAATTTACACGGCGATATGTATACATTGTCTACAGTATTCATTTAATGACCAGCTATAAAGTGAACCAAACTCCAAAATAATGTATGTTTGTTTTTGAAAATGCCTTTAAAACAATAAATATTACAAATGATTGTTGTTGAACATATACTTAAAAGCATTTAACCGTATTCAACATTAATTGTTGCACCTTGGATAATGGATCATATGTGTTTATAACAGCATCGTATATTGTCATTGGTACCTATAGGAATAGCCGGAATAAGAGTGAAATACTCACATATCTTGTCAATAGAGTTCTTATCACTTATAGCTATATTAGACTTTATATAGACTTTTAACTCAACATAGAGTAATATACATATTTAATTTAACTACTGCACGGTTTAGTTTATTGTGATTGCAACTACCATCGAATTGCTCTTAAAATTTTTTTATGGATTCTATTATTTTCATTGTCCTAACAAAATACCTTAAACATCTATCCCGATGCCGTCTTTCGTTCTAACGCATCTGAACTCAATGTCCAATCGGTGAGTAAACAACATACTCGTACAATTCATCTAAGAAGTTTAAAACGAGCCCAACTTATGTTATGGTAAATTCAAAAGGTCTGTTACTTTTGAGTCTGTTAAATATTCAAAAAATTAAGCATTAAACATGTATTTTATTTTATTTTATATGTACGTTTATTATGTTATTAAATGTAAGTATAACAATAAGTAATGTATAATCTAAAACCATGGACATTTTGTGCTTGAACAACACTGGAAAAAGGACTTTCATCTTCTTTGCAACTACAATCTGCAACACACATTGAACAATACAATTTATAATTTAGGATATTATAAGACATTTTTTTATTACTTGGGTATTCTCGATGCATTTATCTGGCGTTGTTTCTCGTTGTATAATTTATCTAATTTTGTTTGAAGGTATAACAAATTCCGTTCTCCAGTCATTAATCTGGATTGTAATAATTTATTTTCGTCCTTCAACTTCGAAAGACATTTGTTTTCAAATCTAAAAATAGATATGCATTCGGTTGTTACTTAATTAGTGTTAAAAGATGATATTATTTCATCTTCCTTATAAAAACAATATTAAACATAAATGATACTAATTACGTTAATTTTTTATTTTCAACTGCCAATTTTCCAATTTCAATTTTTGCTTCGTTAATATTTTTCGATTGAATTTTCTTATCAAATTCGCTTGACGTCTGAAATCGTGCAACTGCGTTTGTCAATTCATTGTTTTTTTGTTTAGTATTATTCAACTCTTCTTGCATTTTATGGATTTTTTTCTCAAACTAAAGTATAACATACTCAAATGAACACTTTATTTAAGTAATATTACGTACAAAATGTATGAGTAAATAGTTATTTTCAACAAGAAAACATTGTATTAATGTATAATACTAAAATGTATTAAATACGGAGATCGTCAGAAAGTCAATCACTCCAGGTTATTTTGAGAAAATTGTTTTACCTCTTCAATAGTAGCTTTCATTTGGTTTGCTTCTAATTGTTGACGTTTTTGGCATTTGATATTAAATTCTAATTGCGTTTTCATAGATTCCTCTAATTTCTCAGCCTGTTCAGTCTTATTTCGTAATTCATCATTTTTTTGTTCCACGCCTTCAAAAACTTTATTTGCTCTCCAGATGTCTGGTAAAAATAAAAATAAGCAATGATTGACAACATTTATATTATATTTAACAAATTTTTAAATGATAAGGTAATACGTACTTTTTTTCATGGACTCCATTCTCTTAAAATCATTTCTTACTCGTCTGCAAAGCAACGTTGATTGTCTATTTAGTAATTTACATTTATGATCATAATCTTCCTTTTGAATCTATTAAAACAATATACTACTATACTATTATTCATTAAAAATGACATGATATTATTGTTTCATACTGTTACCTGTAGTTTTTTAATCTTTGAATCTTTACCTAAGACTTCTAATTTATCATAGATTATATTATATTTTTGTTTTTCGAGCAAGGCTCTTGTAGCTTTTTCTCTATCTACTGCTCTTTTTACATCATACAAGCTTTTAATCACTACGCCTCGATATTGAATCTGTTTTTTCTCTTGGCTGTCATATTTTAAATGTAATCTATTGAACACAACAAATAGCATGTATATTTTAATTACATTGCTTCAAGTATAATACAAGGTTAAGTATACCTTTTGATCACTTGTTCCAGAGCAAATATTTTATTTTCGTAATGTCTTTCTTTTATTGAACCTGAAATAAATAATTAATCCAACATTTAAAACGTGACAACTGAAAACTATCATAGAATATGTATGTAAGTGGCTACCATTAAAATCATTCAAAATACTTAATATCTATGCGGTCAGATGTATGCACAATTTACGCTCATATTCAATGTGCTTAACTACATGTAGGATATTTTTAGCATTGAATAAAATTCTTAGCTTATAACTTATAAGAAACTAAAATAGTTATTAAACTATAAGAATATTATTTTGATCACCAACTCTACACACCAGCATTCAGTTTATAAATTGATATTAATTGTATTTCAATATAAAATTTAAAGCAGCATTTAAAGTACAAATTGTACTTTTTGTCTTGACTTCATAATACGATCACGAGGTTATTATTAATTAACTACTATATATTGTAAATAGTTAAATACAAATTCAGTTTATAATTATTATCGATAATATAGATGGTAAATTATAATTTATAGTTATGAATTTACCGCATTTTATTGCTGGTTCCTTGTCTTCAATTTTACCATATTTTGACTGATACTGTAAAATACAATTTGCATTACTATACTTAAATATCAACTATCACTCTGAGGGGCCGAGGTCAAAGACATTTTTTAAATTTTATAAAATAAAATGGACCTACGCGCATTTTATCAAACAATATACAAAATATATTTACTTCATGCTACGAACAATATATGTTTAAATTGAATCTGTGTACTTAATGAAATAAAAACATTTATAAATAACGAAATTATACAAATATTGTATTTTGAATTAAATTAATAACAAAAAATGTTATTTTTTAAGATTCTACTATCTAATAACTCTCTTCGATAATATCTTACGAAAGGACAGTCGAGGTTACTGAATTTCTTCGACAGATCAAGATTTAGTTTCATACATTCTTCTAATTTGCGCTTTATTATCGTTATGTCTTCTCCTGTGTATATAAATCTTGTTTTTTGTTTCTCCAATTGATGCTAGAATACATATTATTATATATTTCATGCAATGTATATACATTCTAAAATAAAAATTATTTTTTTAATTACAGCGATTTCGATTAATTTCTTATTCTCTAATTGCTCTGCTAATATTATTCGTTTAAACGTGTTCATTTGTTTGTATAATCCACGTTCATTTTCTTTAAATTTATCGACCGTTATCAATAATTCATTTGATTCGTCCTAAATAGAATTTTCACCAAGTTAATTATTTTCTGATTATGTTTAATAATTAAAATGTTAAACGAAATAATCACCAATTTTTTTTGTAAGCTATTGTTTTGTTTAAGCAGACTCGAATATCGAAGTATTGACTCTGAACATTCCTTATGCATAGTTTTTATTTTTTTTTCCAGAACTGTTACACGTTTTTCAGAATCTGTTAATTTTTTCTGTAAAACAATTGATTTGTGAAATATATTATACTTAATTTATATCAAACATAATACACAAATCGTTAGATATTCGAAAATTGGGATACATATAGTTATGTAACTTACCAATGCATTCTCAACCTTAGTCTCAAGAATTTTATTGGCCCTTGCCAATCCTGTAATTTGCATTTCTTTGCAACGTAATTCATCTGCATGGTTACTAATCTGTGTTTTCAGTGCCTTATTCTCAATCTGAAATCATAAACGTGTAAAAATTGTATTACTTTTTAAAATATCGAAATCACTTCAAGTTCTTCAATCATTGTTTTTGTTTTGTCATTTTCTGCTTTCGTCCGAAGTTTTTCCTTGATTTCTTGTTCTTTTTCTAGTTTACACTTCGCATTAATTTTTTCAAGCTTCCTGTTCGTTATCTAAATATTGATTTTATATTCACTTATAATTCACTTATCGTGGAAATAATTTGCATATGAATCGTGCTATATTATTACCATTAAAGCTTTATTACTCTCCGTAACTTCTTTATATTTTTTTTCTAATTCTTCACGTTTTTCTTTCGAATTTCCGTTGGCCATTAACAAATTTTTTTTATCAGTGGTAAGCTTGTTGATTTCCTTATTTAATTCCACGACTTTTGCTTGAATATTTGGTAATTTGATAGAATTTTCCTAAAAAATATAATACAATGTTATATTTAATATTAAATAAACATAATTGGTCCATATTTGTACGCTGTCGAGCCAACTAAATAGATACAAGGGTACACACTTGAATGCAATTTAAATTATACGCAAGAAAAATTATAGAAATACCTATAGGGCAATACAGAATATTTGTTGTTTGTTGAAGATGTGTTCACAGTAAATATCGGTATGTGTAGGCTACTCTCTGAATTATAATTTAAATGAGTACCTACTTTATATAAATGATGTAGGTCTGTTTTTTCTTTTTCTTTTGTTTTTATATCTGTTCTTAATAGTGTATTTTCTTCTTCAAGTTCCGAGCACCGATACTTTATCTCGGAATATTCCTTTTTTAATTGATCTAATTCCTGTTCTAGTATCACCGGGTCGTAATATACTTCTGGGCTGAAATAGAATTTTAAATTTTAAATCTTCGTTACATCCCCAAAAAAATGCTCTACGTATTATAGTTAATGAATTAAATAATAAACAGTGCGGTGTATGCGTTTAAACAGATTGGAGTTTTAAACGGACTCGGACACAATAAAGTTTATATCGATAACACTACTTACGATTCTTCCCAAACAGGTATGAATTCCGCAGGTTCGAAATCCATCGCTATGAATTTTTCTAATATGTAATAGCTGGTAATAAGCTAACACGAATACTTATAACTGTTAAATTCAATTAACTTCTTATAGGTACGAGGTACATACAGAGTATGGGTTATAGAGTGATATTGTAAATCGCAATTATAAACCGCAAGTTATGTTTCAAACATAAAGCGTATCCTTGGATATCGTATTGATTACAAAAATAATATAAATTCGAATAGAATAAATGCAATTTTGTACAAAAATATTACTATTAAACATCATAAAATTTAGGTACCTATTTATATCACAATATTCATGTTATTTAAGGGTCGAGTTTAACATTTAATTTGCCCTTATAATTAACACCAAAGTGCATTTACAACAACAAACATTTTAACTGAATAAGTTAAGAAGTTATAAACTAATATAAGTAACTAGTTAAATCAACAAATGCTTTTATGATTTTGTAATAATTTACCTTGAACTTTAACAAAAAAGCACCAAGTGACAATAAGCTTACAACGAATAAAGAAATTTAATGTCAAATATTTTGTAGTATTTTTACAATAACAATAGGAAAATCACAATGTTTGTGAATTTGTGAATCACTAAACCTAGAAAATAATAAATATCGGTTCCAGGTGATATGCTTTTGATTGGATTAGACTATAATCCTTGCTACTTGGATCCAATCACTACAAAGTACAAATTTAGTATGCATTGGTGTTAAGGTATATATATCACTTTGGAGATCGAATCATAATTTATTTTTATTTACACTGGTTGGAACAGTTTTACAAAAAAAAAAACATTAATTTTGAAAATGTAGATGAATCCCATAAGTCCTTCATATTATGTAGATTGTAGAATGTAGATATAATATGAAATCAAAGTATGTAATTATATAAACAACTTAATGTAAATGTATTTTCTGTAACTAAACATAAATAAAGTAAGAAAAACTGAATATTGTCTTTAATTTTTTATTACAAAAATTACACATGGAGTTAATTCTAAGAATGCAGAACTTATTAGAGATACAATTTTTTTATAAATCATAATTTCAAAATTATGATTGCAGAATTCATGTATTATGAATGTTGGGTGCAACTGCTGATCATTCTTGATAAACGTTTTAACTCTCTCAAGGTCATTTTGTAAGTTTCATAGTTGTTAGTAATTATAATAAATATAGCAGCATCTAATGTGCTGTAAAACAAACACTGGCCAACTTCAAGATCCATCTGATAGTCCTTATAGTATTGAGACTTAAAGCCGTATTTTTCATCAACTGATTGAAAATGTTGAACCCAATACACTGGTAACGAAGTTTTTTGAGAATACAATATAATGTTCAATTTTTCAAATACACGTTTTTTAATATCATTGATATGTGTACGGACTTTTAAGATTCTTGGATGCTGAACTCTTAGTAAATCTGACTCTTTTGATGTATACTGTAAAAAAATAAAACATTAGTTACTTTTCATCATAGTATTGCATTCTATTAAGGCTGAATTAAATAGACTTACATGTGTAAAATGACAAATTTTGATAGTACATCCTACGTATTGAAAAACATTTTGAATGATGCCTCTTACTATTGGCCAGTCTAATTTGTCAAGACCACAACCAATGCGTGGGATAGCTAATTTTTTAACATTGTGTTTTATAATTAAATCACGTAGTTTTTTAATGGCAGCAGTTAAACTATTATATGTTGGTTTATTGTTGCTATATTCCTTTGTAATTAAATAATTAATAAATTGATTTTTGTGTTGCAAATACGCTACTGTGTCAACATTTGGTCTTTGGTCCATCAGCTGTCCAACACACCCGTAGATCCTCCTAAATCATAATTAATCAACAGATTAGCTAAGAATAAATATCACTGTATATTTTATGTTTAAAATGTTTGTTCAGTAACTTAAAATCTATGGCGATGCCCGCACTCATATGCATATCTTTTGCTACACAATGTCAAAGAGAATATTCTACAGGCATAGCAAATAAAGATATATCAACTTCTTCGATATCTGATTTGTCCATAGATTTGACATCTTGTGTTTTTTTAACAAGTTTTTCTACTGTAACATTATAGGAATTTAGATTATACTCTTGAAGTTCATTTAATAACATGTTATTTGTTTTCTCTCTCAGACACACATCCAAAGATATTTAAAATCATTTTCGTGTCATGTCATGAGTAAAGTAAACTAACTTAATATATTTCTAAAGTATTCAATTGAGATTGATTCTATATTTAGCAATTATTCACTTATACCCTTAATCCATCCCTATAACCCACTCTTAGAATTTATCTATTAACTTCAGATATCTGAAATTTTAGCATTGCCGCAACTAGATCTAAAATATTGGGGTGCTGAAGCCCTACAAATAAATTTAGTCAATGAGATCCATAAAAACAAGCATAAAATATTATTACCATACTATATTATTAAAAATCATGTATTTTTTTTTTAGTACTTAACTAAATCATGTACTTATTTGTATGTTTTACATAAAATATGACATAATCTCATGGATTATAATTTATAATTTACAATTTACATATTAAGACCTATCCGTCTATTTTTATTATTAGCTATAAAATGTTCCAACACGGTATCATTGTCTATGGTATTAGTTAAGTCTCTTTCAATGCTTAATAAAGCTAAATTTGAAAAACGGTCTTGTAATAGGTATTCGACTGATTATTTATTTAGTCGGAAATACTGGGAGTTTGAATATTAAACGTTGTCGCGGTGAACCACCGCAATATTCCGCTACTGCATTTATTAGATAACAATATTATTATTAATTATTTAGGAATTACAAAATACACTATAAAATATTTTATATTTTATACAATTTACTTTTGAATAATTCTCTACGTTATATTATACTCATATTGCTTAGGATGTATCTAACTATCTCATGCTTAAACTATTATTTAATCTCAAATAATCAAAAATATTTGGGGGGACTAAAATACATTTGGGGGAGGATAAGCCCCTTAAGTCCCCCTCTAGTTTTCAATTATAACTCCCGTAACTTTATCGAAATCATTGCAATTTTAGAAAATATTGATATTCTGTCTAATCTAATAAATATAGATATTGAAAATGCTACCTATCTTAAAATTAAATCTCAAATTTAACTTTTCTTGTAGTACTTCACATTCTTCTGAATATCGTAGCACAAGCAGGCAGCCACAGCTTATTAATTATTAATTTATTATTTCTTTTGTTAGTAGCCAAAATTTGTAATACAAATTATAATATTTTCTTTTACCAAAGGCATCAGAAATATGGATAAAAAAATATGATTTGTAACATTTTTATGTTGAAGTGGATATAGTTTTATGTATTTACGTAACCGGCGGTGTTTCGATCCGCGGTTCTGTAGATTCATGTTCATGCTCATGTCTATCCTTTCGAGTTGATCTTTTGTCCCTCCGGCGGGACTCGGTCCTCCGGGGAGACCTATCGCGACGCGGTTGTTGCTGAGCCCGTCTGGATCTCGCCTGGTGAGGGGCAGCTGAAACATTTTTTTTAATTAATAAATACTAAAAGATCTAATTAGTCATAAAATTAAAAAAAAAATAATATATACTTACCATCCGGGCGCCACCAGCATTTGTGGGCCCTATGCCCCACTTTATGGCACAAAAAACATTCTGTAATAAATAACGCTATTAATATTTGAATATATTTATATTATGTAAACTGAATATTGAAAAAATATTAAACTTACTCGGGACGTTGGCCACTTGTCGAGGCCGCAGTAGCGGCTGTGGCTGCGCCACAGTGATTATTGCAGCTATCTGTTTTTCAACAGCTGCAGAAACAGTCTGTTCCAGCCAAGACTGTTGCCGCAGCGGACATTTGGCCTTTGATGTACACAAATTGCATACACACTGATTGTTCCACATCTGAAATGATTATATCAATTATAAAACCTAAGAACCAACATTATGTATAATCATTAATAATTAGTTATTCTCATGATTGGAAAACCACCTTAGTTTTCTTATAAATGATCTACATATCACTTTCCAATCTTTTTTGAAAATATAAATTAGTGTTACTACAATATTAAAACTAAAAAAAAAATTTTTGTATAGGTATATTATTTAGTGGGCGAGTTGCCAAGTACACATGGTTATACGTTTTCTGTACTTTAGCTATAGCAACTTTTAATTTTCTGTTTTCGTAATTTCGTATAAATTGTGCATTTTATATTATTATTTAAAATACAAAAATTCAAATTACAAATTTATGTAGTTAATGACTTAATGCAAATTGAAGTAAAAAGTATTTTTATTTCTTTTTACCTTCAGTAGTTTTGCCAGATGGTGTATTTTTTTCATTTTTTTTTCAATTGTTTTTGTGTTAAACAGTATACCTATTATTTAAAAAAAAATACAATATTCACTTGGATTTTACACTGTTTTAAACATATTACATTTTATTCGTAAGTGTTTTAACCAATTAACAATAGGTTTGAAACAAAATGTTAAAAATAAGTTGTTTACAACATAGGTAGTGTTTTAAACGTAATAACACGGATTAAATTAAATATTTTATTATAATCTGTGCTAATAACTAATAAGTAACAATTAACAACCTAAGTTTTGACTTTTGCAGCATTAATATAATATAATATTATGTCAAAGTTTTGAAATTTGAATACTTAATTGAGTTAATCGAGGATATAAAATAAAAAGATTTGTACTATTTTGACGTCACACCATAGAGTTGTTTGTTTCTAGCATCTATTATTACCATAGAACACTAGTGTTCTATGATTATTACTCCGATTTAATTATCAGCTGTTGTTTTTTATATTGGTTCAGTCAGTCGTCATGGAGCGGTTTACAAATACACATTATGTTCAGATCGTTAAAACGTATTATCAAAATCATGAAAGTGGGGCTGAGACGGTAAGGCGAGTGGCGACTTCGGTCGATTTTCGGAAGAAATGAAGCACCCAACGAGTCTACAGTTTTGCGACTGATAAAAAAGTTTGAAACAACTGGTTCTGTTGCTAGTGTGAAGTCACCTGAGCGAAATCGCACTCAACGCAATGCACAAAAAATTGCTGTTGTGCAACAAAGTGTAACAGTGAGTCCAGGGAAATCAATTCACCGACGGTCACAACAGCTGAGTATTCCAGTATTCCAGTTCATTGCAAAGAATGTTAAGTAAAGACCTCCATATACATACATACAAAATCCAATTC